CAATTATTAATTAAAGGGATGAAAATAAATTTTACAATTGACCTCAACAATCACCCCAAATTACAGTCTGGTCTCGCTATTCGAACGAACCCTTAGTCCCCATGTGGCATTTTCATTCCTGCCACCAACTCCTCCCAGCATCCCTCTTAACCATACTAAGAATTACGCCATCCCGCAATGTCGAAAGTACATCTACCCTTGCCCTCTGACCTTACTCAATTATATCGTGCATAATTGATGAGCTGTCCCGAATTTCCATATAAATTTTACCATTTAAAAAATGTACACAAATTCTACCCCACCCGTACTATTTTACAACCCCCTGCCTCACCATACACGGCACAAAGTGTTTAGCATCCCCTAACCCTCGGTCACGCATCATCCCCCTATGCTGTCATTTACTGTAAAATTTTCATCCCTCTCGTACTTCGTTAAGGTATTACTACGGACCGAAAAATAACAAAATTTTCAATGTAAGATTTGAATAATCCAGCGTCAACCTTTGAACTGGTACAGTTCACTCACGCACGCCCATCCCTGCATCGATAGGCGCACGCTAATGTACATTGGATGTAGTAGTGTATACGTATATACACCGAATACAGTCTCAAGAGCAATGTTGCCGTAACGCTCTTTTGTCTAGCCGTCGTACGAGAGATTTCGTAATAAATATCGAACTTCTTTCATGTCTATCAATAAATCCTATGAGTAAAAAGTTGTGACTAAAAATGTAAAAAATCCCCAATTTTTTCCTTTGTCACATACTAGTTTTTCATCGGAATTACGCGGACGAATCAAATGCAATTAAAAAAAAAACCATGCGCGTTTTATTGGCCAGGTATAGGGAATACGCGTTACGAGTCCTGACATTAACTCGTAAATACTCGGAAACTGATGAGTGAATCGTGTTCAAAAATTTGTAGAGAGATGTACCGCTATACAAATTAGACGTAAAACAAATTTCAGCTCGATTACGCGGTTTTGAGTTTACCGTAGTAATATCTTAATTAGCCCCTATACCGATTGCCCTTGTCGATAATAATAAAATGAGTGAAGCAACTTCACACAAGTTAACCAAAACTCGTCAGTATCGACTAGCTACGCGAAATTGCTTCATTAATTCCAGCTAATTTCACGTCACCGAATGCATTTCGAAAGACGTCAGTCTGCCGATGACGTATAACGCGCGTGCACTTTGCACCAGTGCACACTGGAAACAAGTGCTCGGCAAGCCAGATATATATGTATATACGTCAGTAGGATGTCGAGTCTGCCTTGTTGGGAATGGCGTAACGTCGCAACCCCTTAACCTGTGTCAAACATTATGCAGGCAAGCAAGAGCCACTAGAAATGCAAATGTTTGCCCGCGAGCTCAATTAAGGTCGTCGACTGCGGAAATGACAGCGGGAAGACTGAAACGACGCATCCGAATGGGATTCAGCGCGTGGAAGCGCGTTCGTGGAAACACCTTAAGATGCGATTTCCGGTTGAGAGGACGTCCGGGAATGGTTGGATTAGACGCGTCAGCATGCAGATGGGTTGCTTAATTGAGAAATTGGTACACTGCCGTATCACTACACCCACCGATCCCCGTTGTCCCCTTTACCATACGAGAATAAGGGGTCAAGACGGGGGAGACAGGGGACTTCAAGCCCCTGTCGGATGCACGCAGAAAATTAGTACTCGAGTACAAGCGGAGTAAGAAATAATACGTCCAGTGATAAATTTGTTTATGGTTTTTTTTTTATGGAAAGGTTAATTATTATTTATGCATATATTTTTTTCTACAAAAAATATATAAGTTTAACGGAACTGACAATATATTGAGATCTTCCGGGGATATGGGGTGTAGTATCTGTGTCTGCATTTTAAGTGCAACGGGGTGACGATACTAAATATCCTATCGGACGATTTTGCATGGGTTCCCGAGATGTCGATGCTTTCGTGTAATTTGGTTTAGGGATGAATTTTGGGGTGTTTGCTTTTACGGCAAAGAATTGCAGGGAGTGGGGGAAGAGCTTATATACGAGCGTTAAGCTTGACTTCGTAAATGATTAAGGGTTGGTTCTCATGTACACGCGGGTTTACGAGCAGTCGATTGCGTGTGAGTGTGTAATCGGCTTTATCGGGAAAACAAACGCGGGGTTGGAATGATTATGTGGACGAGGGTGGGTGGTTTTGATGGGGTTAGTTTTCACTGTGACGATGGGCGCGCATGTATATATATACCACAGTAACAGTTTTCACTAGTCCCTTGGGACGTACGATGTGCCGTTGTGGTCTAGGTCTTCGTGAATTGCAGTAAGGGTTGCTACCCGGGTGATAGGGGTGGCTACCGGGCAAAGCGGTGCTCGGGTGAGGATACTGCCGCGAGATGGGTGGATCTCGATTTAACGTAAATCGTGGATTACCAGCCGTTTGTGAAATCTCGATCTGTGTACGGTAAATAAAACTACCCCCCTGTACCAGTCGAGTCAGCGAAAGTTAGCTTGACGTACATCGAGAGGGAGCAATCTGTCCCCCCTCTTCCACCCCCATTTCGTGTGCTAACATCATCAGGGGGTTCTCACTCACCCCTGTGACTTTTCACCCCACGAAGAAGGTTTAACTACCCCATGCTTCCGTGCCACCGAACCAGACTGCACCCCCTTGCAATTGTCAAGGTATAAAACGTAGTGGTCCTTAATGTGACGTTGGTTCTTTTTTTTGTTTCGTAGAACAAAAAAAAAACATCCCTTAGAAATTCAGCTGAAAGCTATCGGGGTGTAATTTTCTTTATAAGGTGGATATCGTCCAGTCATCGGCCACGTACCAGTTATCGTCAGTTGTGTTATGATACTGTAGATTTTGCTATAGTCAAAGCACACACTGACGATTACCGGCACGTGGCCGATCACTGGGCCATCCACCTTATCGTGATTTAATGAAAATCTTCGTTACAATGTACCAACCGCCCGCCATTAAATCAATGAAGTTGCCAAATTCGCCAAAGGGGGAAATGTTCAGGCTTCACTTTATTTACCCTCAGAATTTCCTGTTTCCATAGTTCCTTTAGATTTACTCCTCTGGTACCGGCCGTGGATATTAGTTAATGGCATCGGCGTCCTGTTCTACATGTCAAAGGAGAATCTGATAGTATTCATGGGGAGGGCCGGAGTTTCCAGGAAATTCCTGGCTGTCCAATGAATCCTCGAAGGACACCGTGACGAATCACTTGGAATTTCGCGCGATCCACGAATTGATCGAGAAACGGAGAGAGTCGTCGTGATTTACATGACAAAGACGCGAGCAGCTCCGATGGATCAAACCGCAAGGACTGCTGCTCGAATACCGATGCTTCGGGGCATTTGATAAAAGGTCAATCGAAAGTGCAATGAGCTTTGCATAATTTTTGGTTAATTTATATTCGACAAGGACACGTGTCGTGCGTATTAAATGTAGATTTGAGTTATGGGGATAGCTTGAATTTTATATTAAATTTCTTGTTAGAATTTACAAAGACGGAAAAAAAATAGTCGTCTTACGTCTTGGTATTGCATGTGTTCTGTTTTATCGACGTGGTTGTTATCCGTTTTAATGGAGTGCACAAGAATCCGAAACTTTACGGTCGATTTACTTGCGCCAATGGCAGACCATCTAATACCGTTTGGATTTCCTTTAGACTCTTAGTCACGGTATGGAAAAGCTCGCTTTTCGGATTTACAGATACACTTGGATTATCCGGTCGAGCTTTTTCCATAATTTTAAACGAATGCTTTTGCTTTCGAAATAAATTCATCGAACCTTATTGTGAATTCCTTCCATTTATTCGTTCTTATTATAGAAAATGTTTATCGATCCTTGTATTATGCTCGAACAAATTTCAACCCCTTTTGTCAATACTTTATATTCTTTCTGCCCTCAAGGAATAGCCGTATGTACGCTTTTACTCGGTACGTTCTACGCGGTTCGTTGTTCAAGAATATGCAAATAAGGGATAAAAATAAACCCCCCGTTCTTGGTTATCCGAGAGGAGAGAGAGAGAGAGAGAGAGAG